TGACCTTGCTGGCTGAAATCGAGGGAACCTCCTGGTGCCCTGGCATTTCTCTTTCCAGGTCCATCTGTGAAAATGGCACTGTGCCACTGCCTACAAGGTGACGTGCAAGTTTCAACAGTGCACAGGAAGCAAACCCAGGGCAGGCAGCAACCCCTCAGAACAGGAACTAGAGTTATGCACAGCCAGGAGAAATCACACAATGGCTTTTTCTTCACCAATTAATAGTAAGCAGATAGTATTATAATAAATTGGTAATGCAGTAAGATGGTGGAGGGATTTGAGAGCAGATATATACATCTCTGTCTCTAGATTATGAGATCAAATCCTGTTCATATCAGTTACAGCCAAAAAAATGTGATAATTGGAAGACCTGGATCTTATTCTCAGGCTTTCTATTTGATTTCATGCAATATATCCACCCGTTTCTGCCCTCCTGTCTTCATTCTGCGGAACTAGAAGAATTCTACTTAGAAGTTCTGTAAAACCCTTTAGATAAGCAAAGAGGAAATCATGAATATAGGCATGATTCACCATTTTCTGAAGTCAATGGGAAGCTTCTCAAATATTTAAATTATTTTGAATTAAGCCCTGGAAGAATAGTTATATTGTGCATGAAAACTACATTAGATGAAAGCTACATTAGACAAAAACTATTTAGGCCAGCATCTTTCAAACGGCCACATACACGCTGAAGTTTACTTAGATTTGTGCAGTTGCGCATCTACACAGAAATTTGCAGGATTAGCATTAGACAGACATCTTTCAAAGGGCAAGCTCTGAAGCTACGAAAGCCAAAGCTTAGTGAAAAGTCTGTAAAGTAAAGTCCTCACTCATGCTATGCTGTTATGGCCTGCTAAAAATGTTTTTCATCAGTTAATGGGAAATGAGTAATTCCTTTCCAATGGAGAAATCCAAGGAAGAACACTGATCTCTGTTGCCTTGACAACATTTCCTGAAACACTCCAGTACACTCAAGAAGGCTGCAGTATCTATTTCTCATTGGACTCTTACCACATTTGTTGTGCTGCCGTGCTCTCATCTATCGTCTGTGACTATTTGTCACAGAAAGTTACGTGCCAAATAATACATCAAAAATATCTGAGCTGACTTAAATGCACATGCTATTTTTTTTGTGTATTTTCATGGCTATTGAAAGTTGTTAGATCTACGTCCTAGAAAAAAAAAACAAAGAGCATTCTTCCTTGATTTGTGGATATTAGCAAAATAAGTACTCTCTTTCTAGTAATGCAGTTCTTAACTGAGCAGAGGGATCACCTCTACAGAGTGGGCTGGTGGAGTCCATCCTGTCAAGGCTTGAATCTCAAGGTTTGAGCCCAAACCTTGGCCATTCTGACAAGCTTTGCTGAGAGGGCTGACCAGGGGCACAGCACAGCTGCTTCTGAGATGAAAACTCTTAGGCCCACATCAGGACTGTCTATCTCTCTTGCTGGCTGCTCAGTGTAGGAGACTGAGAGCCTGATTTTTCAGAAGTGCCAAAGCCATAGTGAGGGACAAAATGAGCAGGAGTTGCAAGTCCGAAGTGTTTCAAAAATCTCAACTTCTCTTAAAGTTAAAAAAAAAAAAAAAAAAAAAAAAAGGTAGTATTTTACCAGTAAAATAGACAGCACCAGCCTCTGTGAATCCAAAGCTAAGTTTCATGCTTTAATTTCTCTTCAGTTTTTCTACAGGCTGTCCTAGATGTAATAAGAATAAGCAGAAAATAAAGCCACACTACAAAGGCTTACTGCTAATCACCCATTAGAGGGAAGTTTATACAATGTACTAGATACTTCCTTCCTATCTCCTCTAATAATTTCTCTGGATGAAGATGATGAGATAGTATACTCTGCTTCTGATATACTGAATTATTTTATTGACAAATAAAATTGAATATACTGATTAGTGTATTTTCTGCAGGACATTTACTACAACTATTTTGTTATCAAAGGCAAAATACAAAGTGTGTTTTAAGTTTTTTTCTTACATCATGTTAGTAGGTATAACCTGGGCTGGGCAGTCATAATCTCTATGTAGACAATTCCTATAATTGTGCTACTTCGCACCCAGAATGTGGTTTCCTTCCCAATAGGGAAACAGCAGGACAAGAGACAACCTACATGATATAAATCACTGAAAATCCCCAAATCTGCCAAAGGAACACTGCCAAAGAAAACAAAGGCGGATGACAGTAATCCCCCTGGGAGAATTTCAATCCTCATCTAAATTAAAACTTCAGGTGTACTGAAAGGTTGTGGGTGATTTCCTGTACAGGATAAGGAGATTGTTAATTGTCCTGCCTCAAACAGGACTGCAGCCCTCCCTGAACTGTGGCATCCTGTTCTGTGGCCCTGTGGCTGTTCCTGATCCCTCATCTCCATTATTACCAGAGGATTTATGTCATGCTCTGACCCCATCCTTTAGACTAACTTTTTTTGCCCAAAGGGGATACACGTGCTGACACAGGATTTTCTCATGCTAAGTTCTGACTTATTTTAGTCCTGTTTAGAGGCATTAATCCTGCCCCTTTGGAACTGTGCATCTCTGACAGTGATGAGCCAAGAAACTAGCCTACAGTTCTGATAAACTCCTCTGATTATTGAATGTTGGCTGTGTTCTAAACTTTTCAAGCACCACTTAAGGACATAAAGTATTTGCATATCTCTCCTTCATCTGCATTCCCTGATGATACCTGCAGAACAGTCATCACGGACTATCCAGGCTGCTGATACATTCTGTAATGCAGTTAAGCCAAAGTCTGAATAGCCTCCCTGAGCACAATGCACTAATTTTTTTGGTGAAAATTTCTAAGGACTTGGCCAACCTACACTTTTCAGACAGCAGTCAGCTTTCAGAAGCTGCAAGGTCTTAGAGGAGTTTGGGCTTAGTTACATACTGAGAGCCACTGCTGCCCTCTGCTGCAGTATTTTAGGTTATGTCTCTGACAATCGGTGAAAGCCACAAACATTCAAATAAAATTTCTAGTCTAAACAGAATCTTTGTTTCCAAGGGAAACAATGTTTCCATTATTGACAAGATCATTCAAAAGGTCTGCTTCTAACTCATCAGCAAATTCTGATTCTGCAGGGGCTATGTCAAATGGAAATTTTTTTTTAATCTCATTTTGACTCTTTAAAACAGGCAGACACAAGAGGCTGGACACATTTCATTGCTGCAGCAAAATGCTGTCTCATCTTCTGCTTATAAACAGCCATCAGAAGAGTAAGAACTATGGAGTGAGAAACTAACCTTGGGGCCAAACTGACTGCATCAAGGTTCTGCCCAGGTAGCGACATCTCTGATAACCTAAACTTTAGCTTAGAGTATCATGAACAGCCAAGTTCTAGCTCAGTTGAACTAATCTTTCCTTAGTCTTAATCTATCCAGTTCTGATGATCCCCTCAAAGATCTAGCTTTCTTCCTCACTGATGCTAGGAAGAGTGACATCAGTTCAACCTTGCCATATTCACATCTACTACACAAAGGGCTCCAGATAGAAATACTTTATTTTTCCCAGCTTTCCACAGATTCCAATAACCTTCCCTTTTATAATTTTCATCTCCATGAACTGTGAATAGGTTGCGTTGCTTGTAGGTTAGAGCTCCTATCTTAAAATAAAACACTTAAAATAATTTTAGAATTATTTCTAAATTATTCTATGTTTCCCAACATCATAAATTCAATTACTTCTCTCCTGCAGTGCTTTCTGCACTGGAATGCAACTGTGGTGTCACCAACACATAACACTAAATTGCAAAACCTACCAGTAGACAGGAATAGATAAACAGATGGTAGCAGGTCAGAAGAAGAAAGACAGAAACATGTCTTCCTACTCGAGGGAAAACTCTGGCTGTTCTCACTAATTATCTGTGTGGGTCTCCAAAGGAATTGGATTCACCTTGCAAAGAAGGCAGACTAAGACTCTGGCTAATGAAAGAACTGTACTTCCTTCTAGTAGCTGCAGTGACAAACACACCGGGTGTCCACACGTGTTCTGAGTATCTCACTGGTGGCCGGTTAATATTCTGAATACTGTACCACAGAGACCTCCAGAACAAAACCACTTAATGTAAAACCTGAAAATTCTCATATGAGGGCTGATGCAGACTTTTATATGTAGTAGCTGGGACACAAAGAAGAGAACCTGTAACCCACATTTACTAGCTACTTCCAGCTGCTTTTATTTTTTTAAACATTTTCAGGTTTATTTTCAGTTATTCACTGAAAAACATACAGCCCAGCTCCAGACCTGAGCTCAAAGCTCATTGAACAGAGTTTCCTATAGGGAAAAGATAACAGTTTTGCTCCTCATATCTCACTGACAAGGTGAAAAGGAAGGTCCCCTCCATTTTGGCTTCTTAAACATTTCAGTAATGACACAGGGGGATCATGCAAAGTTCAAGGATTCCAGCTCAAAAGGGACTTATGACAGCCATGGGAGATGAAGATCAGTACCAACAACGAAAGATAAACATCTCTAAAAAGATGTAACTGGTTTCCTTGAGGACTCCAACTAAGAGTCAACCAAAGAGGTGGTTCAGATGGCTTCTGCCTTCTCATTTCTGAACATATGATTTACCTCTCCAGCACATTTCTCCCTCTCTCCTTCTCATCACTCAGAATGTGTGTAAATCTCATGTTGTAAGCTTCAGGAAACTTACGGTTGCCAAATGTGATCCTGGTTCTCAAATTATTCCTAAAAATATATCAAATCTGACACCAAATGAAGCAGTGCAATTTGATCTGCAGACTTCACAGATCACCATGAAAAGAAAAAAAAAAACAAACCAAAGATCCATAGAAACTTGTGCAAGTAATTCCATATCACATACTTTTCCTGATGACTGCAAACCTAAACCACTCTCTCTCTCTCAAAATAAGCAACTTTGCTCTAAAATCAGCAGAAAAACCTTTCCCGTGAGAATTTTTGTATTCCCTGCAGTTGCATGAGGACATAATGGGACATGGCCCAATTCTTAAACTCTAGTTTACAAAACACCTACCTCTAGGACTTTCCCAGTAATGAACTGGTGACATGCTTCACACTTGACTCCAAAAAGCACTTGGTAGTCCTTCTCACAATAAGGAGCACCATCTCTGAAAAAGAAGACCCACAAATTACAAACAACCTCTTAATAAACTGGTTACAATGTAGTTTACACTCTTCCTTAGTCTTCAGTCTGCAACTCCTACACACAGCAACAGGCAGATGAGAGTTCAAGGGAAACAGTTTGTATCAGAAGAAAAAATAAAAAAATCTTTCTCACTGGTGCCTCTTAGAATTATTCCTTTCATTCCCATCAAGAAAAGGCATCCAGTACAAACCACTAAAGTAAATCTCATTTTTTGGAGCAGACTCTTTACACCTACAGGTGCAATTACAGGGAATCAGTGGGACTATGTCTATGGGGATGAGAGGAGATCACAGTCTTTATCACAGGCAGGTAGTTTTTGTTCAGAAAAAAAAAATAATCTTTGGTAGTTTGCAAAGCTATAAGCAACTACTTTTATGTTGCGAGGTTAAGTAGTTTTTTAGTACGAACATGGAACATTAAGTAAAAGTGGAAACACTAGTCAGCTTAGGAGTATTTCTCAGATGCCAATTTTTTTTTTTTTTTGAGAAATTACAAATGCTACTTTTTATTAAATAGTGTACATAGCTAGCTGACTGGCAGGTTTGTGAAACATATATTTTTTCCCTTATTTCTTCTCTTGTTATATGCTTGAAGGGGGGAAAGAGATCATATATCATGCCCTCTATTTTATTATTATACCACTTTTCCCCATTCTCTTCCTCTGTGCTTTCTTCTGCTCAAAACTCTTTTCATCAGTTTCTTAAACGGAGATGAGAAATACAGTGTCAGGTCAACCACACCATCAAGGTTACTCTATTTTTAGCAAAGGCAAGAAATGGACAGGTTCCTACTTTTTTCCCCTCAAAATCAGATGCTGAAAAGCAAAATGGCACAACACTTTATCTGGTGAATACAAAAAACATGTGCAGCAACCCACCCAATCCTCTGCAGGAACATGGAGATACACCCCCTTTCACACTGGTTTTAAATACAGGCTGCTATCATTCAACATCACCTTTCAGTTCCACTTGGCAGTTTACTTTCCCAACTCAGCTCTCACTGACAACAAAGATTTTGGTGCATATGGAAAGGAGGTCAAAACAGGATTCCAAAAGGTGAACTCTTGCTGCAAGCTCTTCTCTGTTTGCAGCTCGTGCCACGAGTTCAGAGGAGGTGCACAGGTTACTCACTTGCTGATGTATTCCCCGGTGAGGACCTTCCCACAGGCCTTGCACTTAAAGCATCCCAGGTGCCACTGCTTATCCAGAGCTAGCAATGCTTGCCCATTTTTTATGTCTCTTCCACAGCCAGCACAATCTGCAAATAAACAAACAGATGCATTTGTTGTCAGCTACTTGGTTCATTAACCTTCATTAACCACCCACCCATCACAACACTTGGAAACCAAAGGGGAGAACTACATAGCAAAGGTACACCTTCCTTTCCTCAAACCCTTCCCAGGTCCTGTATAAAGATTCAGTCATAGTCAGTAGAAGGGGGAAAGTATCTCTTCTGTTTTTCATGCTGTTTACGTTTCAAAGACTGCCTGGCAAGCATCGTACGGACTTCAGATTTTGTTAGGAAAAAACTAAAAAAACAACATTACCGCAAAAAAATTGCCATCTTCTAAAGCAACCTGTTTGTTTGCCATTTCGCTTTTAGCAGGATCCTGACTGCTTACAGGGCGCTGGACGTGGCCCGAGTGAGCACCACCAGGATGCTGCCTGTCCCCGTTTGGTGGCAGCAGAGCCCCACTGTCCGCCCAGCTCAGGGGCGGTGGCAACATCTCGGCCAGGAACGCAGGAGAGACCTTTTTCCAGGGAGGGCCCAAGGCACAGGTGACAGGCATATGAGAGCAGTGAAGGCTGCATGGAAGGGCATATTGTCTTCCATCTGCAGGTTTGGGTAACTGAAGCTCTCACGGTCTCTAATCAGCAGAAGGACTCCCAATCAGGGATTTTGGTACTACCCCGGCAGTCAACACTCAGTTTTCACTGCGATTCTGAAGGACTCTTTGATGGCAGAATGCAAACCCAAAGCCAGGAGCACTGAATGCCCTCTGTCCCAGAGGGTGCCACAATATCTGATGTTACATGAGAAATCTCTGGCTCAGCCCCAAGCTTCCATTCCTTTCCACTCAAATGTAAAACACTCAGAGATTCCCTGTTAAGGGGCAATCCAGCACATGGCAAGATTTGAATAGGCTGATGTGGCAGACAGAGCTGAACTGCAAGGGTTGTGCTACAGCTTCTGTGCCCAGCCTCGGGGGACAGAGGGACCGAGGGAGGGGAAGGCCTGGAAGCCCAGTGAAGCAGAAAGGGAATGCCCATCAGCTGAGGCACACATGGAAGCCACACAGGAGACAGCCTGGAACAAAGGATTTTCCGTATTTTATTATCCCCAAACTCAGTGTTCCTTTGGTTAATCTAACATCCTCTCTACGTGCCTGAAACATCAACAAATGGCAACAAATGGAGACAAACAGAACAGAGCCTTTAAAGCCCAGACAGGAGGGAAAAGATCATCCTGGCTCCACTGGCTTAAGCTGACTGAACAGGTACAGCCTTAAAACCTTCATCTCTTCCTGGATTTATGGCCCAGGCAACCCCACGCCTTGCAAAAGGGCAAGTCTAAGTTTTATTACCACAACTTGTAAAGAGAGGAGAGTCAGTCCTTTTGACTACAGGGCCTGACTTTTGTTTGTTGGATAATGGGCCAAGAGAGCCCCAAATATATGCTGCACGTTCCTGCTATCCAGGTCATCATTTTTCATGTCCCTCTTCCTATCAGCATTCTTTTTCTTCTCAAATCCCCTAAAAACAGACGAGAAGAGGATAAGCACCATGGTATCTTGTGATAAAATGCGAGTCACAGACTGTTGACATGACTTGGGACTTGAAAAGCAACCCTGAGATGTCCTAATACCAGGACTTTGCTCTGAAGGACATATGTTACAAATTGAAATCATGAAATGACAAGGAGTGACACCATGTAATGGATCCCTCTGCTCTGCCGTGACAGCTCAAGGCTCCATGCCATCCTGTAATGACAGCAAATGCTGGAACAGGTCACTAAGAGAGGCTCTGGAATTCCCAGCACAGGGGTGAGGAAGGGACAAATGTGTCAGGGTGGCTTTGGTGCACTGCTCTTGGCTTTGGTTTTGGGAGGACACCACATGACCTCTTGAGGTCCCTTCCAGCCCACATTTTCTTATGTTAAATCTAAAGCATGCAACGTGTCTTCAGCTGTGACAACAAGCGAGATCTTTCCTCAGTCTCAGTGAGTGCTGAGCTGCAGTTTTAAAACAGCACCCATTTCTCAGCTTCCAAGCACTAATGCTTCCTCCTAATGTGCCAGCTTCCACAGCCCTGACCTGGGCTCCTGCCAAACTGTGATATACCTTCCCTGTTACATATTCCCGCAAAAAATCTGCTGTGTTGTCCATGCTTTTTTTTTTCATTTTTATCCAAAAACCTTCTGTGAAGCTGAAATTTCTCAGAAATGGAACCAATGAAAAGATTTTTAAAGCACTTCATTTTGTTTCCAACTGAATTTCTGAGGCAGTGAAAATAGGAAAACTGCCTCATGCAAAAGGTCTACCAAGTCCAGTATCTTGATCTTTCGTGATGCCAAAACCATTCACATGAAGGAAGGTAGGGATCTGTGAAGTACCTCTGTCTAATTGCTTCTTTGTAAGCCAAAGGCACAGTAAGTCTGAGCACTAGACCTAATCTTGTGCTCATGTTTAATACAAGGGGTTGGTAACATCCTTTTATTATTCTTCAGCAACAATGACATCTACTTACTCTTTCTGGTTTCCTTGAAGTGTTTTGCAAAAGAAAATTAACATAATTTCCATTCTGCTAATACGACAGACACGTTGAATGTCTAGAATCAAAGTAAACTAATAGCCCATTTCTGTCATATTAGGCTGAGATGGCTTTTAAATAAACCTGATTTTAATTCTGGCAAAACTGTTGGGCATATACATGAAAAGCTAGCAATTATCATTATCTCCTAAAATAGAAAGGAAATAGGGCTGGGCTGGGCTGGGCTAAGAAAAGACCATTTGTTCATCCAAATTCTACAAATAAAAGCTATTATGATCTCAGGCCTGCATGAGGCACATTTAAGCCTTTGGCTGAATGTCATCAGCACACAGCGCATGCAGGCAGGATCTCAGTATCACATTAAGCACAATCTGCATCAATCTAACCTATAACCAAACCAGCACATGCTGCAAATAAAAGGGCCATGAGACAAAAATAGTGGTCCCCAACCATATGCCAGAGCAGACTAAAAAAAATCTGAAAACCCTTCCCAAAATTTTGTACGACAGTTCCCACTATGGTTCTCTCTGGCTTCGTACCTTCGTCTAACAGACTTCACCCCTTGACCTTGAGCTTTCTTGTGTTTTCTTTTTGCCATAAAACCTGGATTCTTGCCTGCTCCCATTCCTTGCACATCCATGTATTCAGCTGTGCCGAGATAACAAAGAGGAGGAGGTGGCAAGTGCAGCAGATACTGGTTAAAATGCAGAGTGAGCAGTACAGTTCCTCTATGCACTTATATCTATGTCATGTTTGACGTGTCCAGGTACAAAAGCAAACGCCTGGACAAAATGGCTGTGGTGTGCAGTCAGCCAGCCCAAAAGCATTGAAAAGTGGGGGGACAGGGTACAGCACTATAATATGATAAATGATTAAGATCACTGCCCTCCAAGCACCTTAAGCAGCCTCACTAAAAAGATGCAGGCCAGGGGGAGCTGCCACCCATGACACCTTGCTTGTAAAGATACGAGAAAATGTGTTTCCCTTTTTAGCATCTGCATCACCCCAGACATCCAGGAATGAAGCATCCTGCACAGCAACCCATTTGTCACTGTCTAAATTAAGCAGTGGATTTTCTGCCTTTGCCTCCCGCCCCTGCTCTCAGCCAATAGTGCACAGGTGGGCTCAGAGCCGATACAGCTGGATTAACCCTCAGCACACAGCACAGGGTTTTACCCACTCCCACTTGGATAGTTTTGAAAATTTAACAGCAAATGTATGCTCACCCCATATAATTTATGAAAGGGAAATCATCTCTACCTGCTTTTGTCCTAATGAACAGGGTTATGCAAAGTCATGTGAATGATTACACCAATTCTGCTCCACGCAGGGTTTGCCCTGTGAACAGAGCTAATAGCAGTCTGACTTAATGATGAATGATTGAGTCACCAAAAAGTTCCTTGCAGTCCTCATGGCCATTAGTAGCACATGTCTAGATAAAGTCTGAAACTGCCACAACCCCTATGAGTCACTGGTATTTTGTACTCTTTTTACGCTCCTCCTATAACTATTTCCACTCCCTATAAAACACAGATACATTAGTTTTATAAAGATAACACCACCAGGCTTCTGCTCTGAAACAGGTAAAGCAGGGCAGAATTGGTTGGGGGTTGTTCATTATTATTTTAATTTTTAAAAGGAACAACAAGTTTTCATTGGAGTTATACAGAAATACATTGTCAAACCTGGCTGCAACTAAAGAGTGAGTGATTTGGAAGTGATGAAAGAGGCAAATATTATCACTGGAGTCGAGGCCAAGAAATTTGTAATTATAAATAGCTCATAATCACCTTGAAAAACAACTTATATCCCAGTAATTCTTCTGTGGCAATTTGAAGGTTGTGCAATTACAGTTTCTCATAGAGCTAGGAAGACCAGAGTTTTTCCTCAATCACCCTTCAACCACAGATCAGGCAGCGCCTTCTAAAGCCTTGTTTTCAAATTAAAAGGTTTGATGATATCATGCAGGCTTTTCCAGATCATCAAGATATTTCTGTCAACGCTAAAAAACCAAACTCACTACGTTTACCGTATGATAAATGTTTTCAAAGTTTAAAGCATAACCATTTAGACATCAGGGCAGTGATGAGTTCTGGAAGTCAGAGAAGGACACACAGTGTCAGGAATTTTACACGCAGGATTTAAATCTGAGTATGTAACTCAATAAATCTGCTGCCAACCCCCTCCTCTTTGCCAGTGCAAGGATGGGAAATGTTTTTCAGAACAAATTCACTACTACCCTTTTGCTGAAGGCAAAACAAACCCACGCGGGCAGCCTTGTACTCCTGAAATCTAACAATAAGAGGCTGGGTGCATACAATGGAGGGAAACAAATTTCCCATGGGAAGTGGAGTATAGCTTTGACAGCTTATTATAAATGACAAGTTGGGGAAAACTGATATTTTAAAAACAAATTGTTAAAGAAAACAAAATTATTTTATTTGAATAAATATGGAAAGAAATCACAATGGTACAAACTGGCAATCT